CTTCAAGCTTTTGTTGTCACAAAACGTTGTCTTCTTTTTAATGTCTGTCTAATCTAGCCTATATGCTGAGAGAAGAAAGAATATAGGACTGGAAAACATATGGGCCTTCAGGTGGTGGACTGTAACTCCATAGCCCTAAGCCCCAGCCCCAGCATAGGCAATAATGAGGGACTAAGGGCCCTTCCACGCAGCCCTATATCCCAGAATATCAAGGTAGAAAATCCCACATTATTTGAGTGTGGACTTAGATAACCCAATTCAAAACAGATAATATTACTGATCATATTAATAAACTAGCAAACCCAATACAATGTCACAGACAGAAGCCATACTATTAGCCCAAGAAAGTAAAGGGAGGTATGCCCATTGCATGTTATGGAGATAAGAGTGGCATGTGATTCTTCTTTCCATATATATGAGAGTTCAGTTCCAGATGAAATTTTATCATAATTGTTAAGGTATCATAAAATTTGAATGTGGAGAAAGTGAATATTTCAGAGTAACCCATTCCTATCTCCAACACTTTGTCGGCACACTCTGCCAAGTAGAAGAGTCATTCCCTCTCCAAGCATTAACTTGGTGGTTGCAGATACTTTACTAATTTCTGTTGTTCATGATCACAGACTAAATGTTCATTAATCCAAACATAAGTTCACAACCTAAAACAACTAAAACCATCGAGAAGCAGTGATACACCACTGTAAGGCAGGTTTATGAGTCATGCTGGCTCTGTAGCAGCTGTAGCTGTATGTATAGTCCAAATCCATGTAGGATTTAAGAGGATTTTGACATGTACTGATTACTTCTTATGTACATTTAAGCTCAGCAAAATGACACTTCGTTTGTTCCTTGGAAATAAATTCCTTGGTTAGACATGGTTACAAAGACCCTCATATTGTAAGAGGGCTTCCTCGGTCATCCAAACAACTAACCACATGGATATACACCAAGTGGTAAGATTATGAGAGTAAACAAGAGTTCGATGCAACAATTATATTGGTATAGTATTCATGTTTACACAGAAGACTGAATGATCTCTATCCGTTCCACATTTTAAAGAAAACAACATTATTTCTGACCATTTTTTCAGAGAAGAGTTAACATTGGTAGATGGATAAATGTGTAGCTCCTTTATTCCTCATCCTCGCTATATGAACTGACCATGACTGATGTTTTGGTCTTCAACTCCCAGAAATCCTAATAGCTGGTAAACTGGCTGGGATTTCTGGCAGTTGTAGGCCAAAACACCTGGGGACCCACAGGTTGAGAACCACTGATCTAGACACGTCATTATTTGTACAAGTACCTAAAACAGAATATAGGCCTTTCATGGTTTTTTTTTACTATTTGGTAGCTATCTTTATTTATTCCTACATCACTGAACTCCAGCTAAAGATAGCTCAAGACATCGTGTTGCTTGAGGCAGAGCAATGTCCAGGTTCATAGTATCCAAGGTGAATCAAGTTGTTTTGACATCTGAGAAGGAAATCTCACAAATCTTCATGGAAGTATCAATATTAGCCACAACAAATTTAAAGGAGAAATGCATCTAACAATTTGCTATTGTTTAATGACACCCAACATCTGAAGTTGCCTGAGGTAGCTACCTCATTCTGCCTGTTGGCAAGGTCTTCTGTGACACTCAACTGTTATCCATGTCCCAAAGCATCTCCTTCTGATTGTGTTGTTACCCATTACTGTTTCATTCCATAACCAACAATGTAGAACCAAGTAATCACACTGCTGCCATCAGCAACACAGAATGCCAAAAGAAGTGTACACAGAACACACATCAAGACAAGTTTCAATAGCAGAGATCTTCTCCAACGGAAGGAGCTAATTCATTTCTTATCCAATTCAGTGCATTACATAGTGAAAGATAAATCCCATTCAGCTTTCTAAATAAATAAGCATGTAAGATGCTCATATACATTCAAGGATACATTCCTATAGCAACAGATCAAGTTATGGCCTATTCTCAGCTTCATGGCATCAGAGAAAATAGTCCGTCTCAAGCGATAGAAGTAAATAAGCAATCTCCCTTCTGCTCCTGTTTTTCATACCTGGTATTACTGAAATCTCTTTTAAGTTTGATGAATTGAAGGCTGATTCAACTGGAAGCAGCATCCTTCATATAGCACGCACAATATTTATAGCTTCACTGTGGTTCTTAACACTCGAAACACAGAAGACTGCATAACATATAGAGATACATAAATGACTAATAAGGTCATCATAGTGGTGTCGTATATGCTTCCAGTTGCATAAATATTATGGCAGCAGTTATACTTTACAGAATGAATAAAACATTTTATAGAATTTAATAATAGATGCAAGGGAGATATATTGCAACATCCCCCTGCATTACTCATTTGCCGCTATTACTCCACGTATGTTAATGTCTTCTTTTATAATTTTATAAAGCATAATTCATGGTCATATTGAGTGTATATGCAAAAATTATCTGCATGATAAAATCCAAAACCACATACTGCATTTCATGCATCAGCCAATGATTAATGTTGGCTCATCAATCAAAATCTACTCGTTTCTGTTTTAAAACAAAGCATTAGAAACCCTAAAGGTAACAACAAAATGGGAGAATTATCTGAATTGCAGGTAATCGAGTAAATGGTAAATGGCATTAACTGAAAGGTGTTCATGTTTTGGGTGGCAGTGGATTGAAAAGCTATATAGTAATCAATGTGACAATGCTTTTGTTGAATTTTGTCTAGAAAGATAAAAATACCTTTAAGGGTTTTACTCAAAAATCTATTTACATAAAATTCTTATAAAGTTTAACTCGTTAGTCTTTCAAAAGCAATATAATGTGAAGTTTTCTAATACCAAATGGCAGAACAATTGGGATGCTGTTAAGTTCTGTAGTCCTGTTACATTCACAAATCAGTATGAGTTACGTCTAACCACCACTGTTTCTCCAAGCTGTATTTTTACCTCCACTGTCAGTCCTTTAAGTATTTATGCTACTGATGATACATTCATAACCGGCACTGTGACTCAAACTGTAAGCTGTTAGTTGCTAGGTATCCCTAGCAAATGAATGGTACCTTGAGCAGATTTTAATGGAATGTGTTTAAAAAATACACTGATTAAGCCGATTGATACCTCAACACTGAAGTCTTTATCCACACAATATTCAGATTCAAACCTCCCAAATCAGGAAAATAAATAGTAAAGGGACTTTTTTTAAGTAGCCATACTTTATACAAAGCAACAGGGCTTTTTTGTTTTATTACCAAAAAGGTTATACAAACAATATGAAATAGCAAGACAAAATTGAGGAAGTTCCCATATACTCTTGGCATATTATTCAGTTCCCATCTCTACAGCGCTCCCAGTAACACTTCAGCTCTTTACAAACTGATTGTAGAGTGCCTCATTTCCCTCTGTCATTTTCCTCTCCCTCATTTCCTTTTTCTTTTCCTTTCACAACCTATATGCACAAAAAAGGGAGCCAAAATATGTATATTTTACACCAACATCCCCATCTGTTCTTTCTGAAGTTGCGCTTCGTCCCTTCCAGTGCTTCTCCTCTTTAAAAGGATTCTCTGCCTGCAGAAAGCCAGAAGCAACGTGACTGAAATCTTTCATTTCTCCACTGGGATTTTCAGCGAAGGAAGCTGCAATTGATTTTTTTGTGGGGGGTGGGGGGGTTGTTCCTTGGCATGTATTACCTAGTTAAGGGCCAGCCTATTGTGCAAGGGAAATCAAAGGCAATGAGCTCAGGTCTGGCAGAAGGGGGCACAGAAGGATTTATTCCAAGACCTAAAAGGTGACTGGACTCAGAGGTGAAAAAAGGAGGTTAGGAGATTCCATCACCAATTAGTTTGCCTCTCCTCTCTCCCCCTCTTTCTTTTTCTTGCTCCATCTCTAACAGATGTTGGAGCCCAATTGCCACCAGCACCCTAGCCTGTCCATCATCCAGTTTAAAGAATTGCTGCCCAATGAAGTCTGGTCCCTGTATTAATGAGAGTGATCTAAGGCAGAGTCAATTAAATCAAATTCCCACCCACCTCCCTCATCTATCTGCAGTGTGCAGCGGCAGCAGCAGCGGCATTGGCACCACCAATAGCATACCCAGTATTAATAAAGGATTTCAGTGCTGCATTCAAGGGAAGGGAAGGGAGGGGAGGGGAGGGGGAGGGGAAGGGGGACCACTGCTGAGTGAAATTTATATGGTTTAGAACCAGAAGGAAGCACACTGCAGGACACTGCACTTGAATGAAAGCAAAGCAATTCCCCCCAAGACTCATTCTGGCACCACTAAAATTACAACACAATACAGTAAAAAAAAAAATCCCCCTTGAAATAAGAAAATGACACAAGAGTGAGGGGGCAATTAAAAAAAATAGGAGTGACCCAAGCTTTGAAAACATTTTCACTTTAATACTGAAAAAATATGCCATTATAAAATCCTCAAATAGGATGAGTAAGTCTCCTTTGCTTCCCCTGCCCCTCTCAGCTCAGATATCCCCCTCTCCCCTCATTGGTTTGTTTTTTTAATGATTGAGATGGAGAAGAGCACAAAAATCTTTTGCCATTGAACTCTGCAGCTTAAGCACTCAGGTGGCACTAAGCGGTCGTGCTTCGCTGCTTCTGATATTCGTGTTCTTGTTTTCCTTTCCTTTCATTAAAAAAGGAATTCTAACATTCTAACATTTTTATCACCAGCTGTGGGTATTCTGGGTATTCTATGTTTGTTTGGTTTTACATTCAAATGGAAAGGCATTATTTGAGATGTGATTTTTTTTCCCCCAAAGGAAACTCAAAAAGAACCAGAAGCAAACCGGCCCCCTCCTCCCTCCCGCCAACAGAGAGAAAATGTGCCCCCAAAAGTAATCTTCCCCCACCCCAAATGCAAAAACCTGAACCCATGAGAATATAGCCATGCAAACATGTCTTAAATAAAATCTTTACATTTTTCCTTGTTTGTTTCACAGTAAAAGGACGATCTCTACTGCCTAGCAATCACACAAAAATAATGGCGAAATGGCACTTTTTATTCTTATTATACTGTATTTTGTATATAGAAAGTTTGATACGATGGAACTTATCAGGTAAGAGGGAGGACGAGGTGAACTGGACGCTGCTTCCATTTGGGGCTGGAGCGTCCCTGGGTAGTTTGTATCCATGCGAACCATGCAGCAACTTGGGTTGGTTGGTTTGTTCTAGATCAGAGTTACTTATTTACAATACATTCATGCCTTCGTGCAACTGGACACTCCTGCCTTGTTCACAGCGAGGAGAGCACTAGTGAGAGTCTTTTTCTCCCCATCACGTACAGCCACTAAATCCACTTGGTCATTGTAGGTCATCCGCAAGAGAGTGTGTTCTCTCTGTGGGTCTTGCTTCCATGTTGAGCTGCCATTGGCTTTTTCAGTAGATCCTTCTTTCCTTCTCATTAGCTATGCACAGTTACACCAAGCAAAGCCTCAAGTTGGGACTAGGCAGGTAGGAGAATGGGGAGGGGGGAAAAGCAAGCTCCCACTCAAAACTTTCCCTCCAGTTTGGTGAGTGGGGTTGGGTATTTATCACCAGAAGGTAGCTTTAGTCACCAGAAGGTAGCTTTAGGCAGGCTAAGCCTCATCCCTTGTTGTGGTCCATTCACACCAATGGACGAGACAGCAATGCACAGATCATGGGAAAGGAGCTGTTGAACCACTGGAGGGGAACTGAGGTTGCTAGCTGCTGAAGTTGAACTGATTGCCCATATATGATTTGAATATTTTTATTTTTGTATGTTCCCACTCTTGTGTCTCAGTCTGATAAGGAGTGAGAGCCACAGTCATATACCCTATGGGCTCCATCTGTATTGTAAGGTCCATTGTGCCAGTAGGAGGAGTCACAGACTGTCTGTAAGGAGTTGATCTCAGAGGCAGAGGAGTTGGCATCCCTCCTCTTGGAGCGTTTCCGGTTCCTCAAGATAAAGACCAGCATGCCAACCACTGTGAAGGCAGAGGTGACAAAGACTAACAAAAGGCCAGGCACCAGCACTGAAATGGAGACTCTGCTGGTCTCCAGGTAGGAGTTGGAGTGAGTCCCAGTCTCAGCCAAGCCAGTGCTGTTCTTGTGAGCAGAAGTCAAGGTAGGCAAGGCTTTCAGTTGAGGGCAAATGGCCTCATTGGAGAGGGATTCAAAATCCTCTTTGAAGAATTCTTCTGGTGTCTCGCATCTCAGGTCACTCATCATTACCTTGGGCCTCAACATCTCCACCCACTGTTTGAAAGGAACGATAGGGCACTTACAGTCCCATGGGTTGTCATGCAGATCTATTTGAGTGATTGAGGTGAGCTGGTCCAGTACACCTGCCACTGGTAAGAACAAAAAATAGTTGTTGTGGATGCTGAGCTTGGACAGAGAAACCCCAGCAAAGACGTCAACAGGGAGGGACCTCAGTAGGTTGTTATTCAAGATGAGGACCCTCAGTTTGGGCATGGCATTAAATGTCCCAGGCATGATCAGTTGGATGACGTTAAATTCCATGTTTAAGTACTCAAGGTTTTGCAGGCCATTGAACTTCTCCCGAGACAGAATGTCCAAGTAGTTATTGTCCATGTACAGCCACACCAGCTCCAAAAGGTTCTTGAAAGTGTTGTTCTCCATGGTGGCAATGTTGTTGTTGCCCAAGTCCAACAGGTTCAGTTTCCGATAATCCACAAAATGCGACTTCCGAATTGTGTGGATCTTGTTGCCCCTTAAGAAGAGCTCGTGCACATTGGCGGGCTTGGGCTTCAGGTCCACCAGACTGCTGATGTTGCCTTCGTTGCAGTTCACCTTGAATCCACCAGGGATCTGATGACAGGAACAGGTGGCAGGGCAAGGTGTGCTGGTGGAGGACTTGCCTTTGGCACTGAGCACTGAGCTGGCCACAGTGGGCCTGGTCTTGATCTGCCAATTGACAGGGATCTTGGTGCCTCCATGAGGAGCGGAGCCAGGGGTGGCTGGGTCCTCCTTGCCCTGGGCCTTAAAGGGAGTGGGGATGGGGCCTGGCTCACAGGTCTCTTCCTCTGCTGGAGGAGCTGCCAAACTGGAGTCCACCCGATTCTTCCTGCACAGCTCTCGCTCGGTGGTCTCATTTAAATCCTTGCCCTGCAGGCGAGTGGGGGCTTCGCAGACCACCCGGCCAATCAGCGCATTCTTGGGGATGTTCTCCAGCCATTCCTTCAGGGAGAGCAGGTCGCAGGTACAGTCCCAAGGGTTGTCCTCCAGCAGGATCTCCGCAATGCCTGGGATCTGCTCTAGGACGTCCTCATAAGGCAAGGTTTTCAGGCGGTTGCCCCGCAGGTCCAGGTGGGTGATGGGCACATACTGGAACACGTTGGCCGGCAGGACGCTGATGAGGTTGTCATTCAGGATGAGCACCTCCAGCTTGTTCAGGTCCCGAAAGGCCCCCGGGTCGATGTCCCTCAAGAGGTTGAAGTCGGCCTGGAGGTACTCCAAGTCGTCGAGGCCCAGGAAGGTCTGCTTGCGGAAGGACTTGATCTTGTTGTTGTTGATGTGGAGGCGCTTCACGAGCTGGAGGCCCAGGAAAGCCCCCGGCACGATCTCGTGCAAGCCGTTGTTCTCCATGTGGAGGCTGACGGCATTGTAGAAGTTGGCGAACTCATTGGGGAAGAGGCGCGTGAGGGAATTGCCGTGGAGGAACAAATGGTAGAACTGGGACGTGGGGGCCGAGAAGCGCTGGAGGCTGGTGAAGCCTTTCTTCTCGCAGTCGACGTGCAGGTCGCCCTCGACCTCGGTGCAGGAGCAGAGCTTCTCTTTGCAAACGTCCCCGGTCACATTCCCGGCGGCCAAACAAAGCGACGTCTCCAGCAAGAGGATCCAAAGCAGCATTTTTACACCCGGCGAGTCATCCCCGAGCTGGAGCGCGCCTCGTCTGCACAGCACACACACACACACTGGCCAAGGAGGAGGAAGAGGAAGATGGGGAGGAAAAAAAGAGAGAGAGAGAGAGAGAAAGAGAGCACTCGGCGCTGGTATCGCAGTTAAGGAAGTTCCTTCCAGGCTTGGAATGCCCGAACCATCTTCAAGAGGGAAAACATGGGGGAAAGAAAAAGGGGAAGGAGGGAGGAGAGGATGAAGTGGTGGAAGGGCCAGAAAAAGAAAGCCAAACAGCGGCGTTGGCAAAGGGATGAAATGGGGGAAGGGGGGTGGGAAGGTAGGGGGCACAGCCTGGTCTCCTCTCAGCCCTCTTTCCCCCTCCAAGCGCTGCAATAGCCCGGGCTCCAGTCAGCGATCATATCCGCAAAAGGAGAGGAGGAAGAAGGGGAGGGGGCCAAGTTGGAGACCCCCTTCTGTCCCCTCCAGGGCTCCCCTTTGCCCAAGGAGACCGCCAGGCATGAAGAGGAAGCCCCGCTCTCTTTCCTGGGCTCAAAGCAGCCAAGTCTCTCTCTCTCGGAGCAGCAGCAGCAGCAGCGACCTGACGCCTAGGAGGACTCGGCAGGAGCCGCTGCAGAGGCGAGGGGCTGGGGGCGCAGCGGAGGAGGGAGCAGAAGGAGGGGGAAGAAGAAGAAGAGCAGAAAGGCTCCCCTGGGCATGGCTCGGGCTCCGGACTGACCTTGCTCGCGCCTCGCCTTTGCCCCGCCGCCGCCGCTGCTGTTGCTGCTTCTTCCTCCGCCCGGGAGGCTGTCCAAGGTGCTGAAATCACGCCCCGGACGCCCAAGCCTTGGCGCGGCCCGAAGCCTCCCGCCGCGCTGGCCTCAGGGCTCCGTGCATGGCTCTCTCTCCCTTCGCCGCCTTCTGCCTCGCTGTCGCCCCCTCCCTTCTTCCCTCCCTCCTCTCTCTCTCTCTCAGTCTCTCTCTTCCGTTTCCCTCGCTCGCTCTCCGTCTCCTTCCTCTCCTCCCACCCTTTTCTCCCTCTCTCGCTTCTCTTTCCTTCCTTCCTTCTTCGCGCCTCAGGGGCTCGGGTGCTTCCCGCAGTGGCCCCGATCCATCCGAAGCCGAGAGAGAGAGGCAGAGGCAGAGGCAGGGGGCGGGGGAGAGCGGCTCAGGGGAAACGGGGCTTGGCGGCGGAGCGGTGCTGGATCCTGGCGCGGAAGGGAAAGTTGAGCATGGCCTCGAGCCCGCCCTTCTCCGGAGAGGCCTCGACGTCCGGTTGTCAAGCGCCTAGCCGCGGGAGGAGGAGGAGGAGGAGGAGGCGGCAAAGGAGGAGGAGGCGGTGCGGCGCGCCATTTTCGCCCCTCGTTCCCTCTCGGCCTCCCTCTCTGCCTTCTCCCTGCGGTGGAGAGCCAGCCTTGTCACGCTGCATTTGGCGTCTTTCCTGGGCTTTAACTCGGCGCCCCCTCCTTCCTCCTCTCCTTCCTCCTCCTCCTCCTCTTCCTCCTCCTGTGGCGTCTTCCTGCCTCTCTCTCTCTCTCTCTCTCTCTCTTTCTTTCCTTCCTTTTCCTTTCAGTGACTTCAGCTGCGGCGGAGGAGTCCCCTGAACTGCCCGGGAGAGGAGAGCAATCTTCTTTCCTCCATCTGCTCGAGAAAAAGAGGGGAGAAAAAGAGAAAGAGGCGTCTATGGAGCGGCGTGAGGGACTCCTGCTTCCCCTCCTGAGGAAAGAAAGGGAGACAGGCAACCGAGGGGCAAAGATCCTCTTACCTTTTCTTGGTGACTCTCAGAGCATCGTTTCTGCCTTAAGTGGCGCCAGGGGGGAGAGAGAGGCGAGAAGGCGGCGGAGGAAAGGGACGGAGCCTGTCACAAGGTCTCCTGGGCTCTGCGAAGCCACTGGGATGGTCTCCCTCCGTCGCTTTGGCGGAATGGCTCCGAGCCCAGAAAAACCAGTTGCATCTTGGCTGATGCAGAGGCGCCCCCCCCCCCTTCTTTCCCCGCCGCCTCCTTTTCCTCTCTGCGCTAAAGGAGCTCCCCCTGCTTTCCTTGCCTCCCCTTCTTTCCCCGGCTTGGATCTTCTCCCAGGATGGTGCCTCTGCCTTTCTCCAATGGCATGGGCTCCAAGGGGGGAAGTTTGCCTCCAACTTGGGCTGGGAGGGAGAAGAAGAGCAGCCAGAGGACGGGCTGGAAAGAGTGGGTGGACGGACGCGGGAAGTCAGAAAGGCAGCTCTCAACTCTTCCCCCCCTTCTCCCCCCCTCTCTTTCCTTCTACTGTATTCTTTGGAAAGCCAAGCCTTTCTGTAGATCTTCCGCTCTGAAACCCACCAACCTCCAGCTACAGCACCTCAGTGAATCCCATGCCCAGGGTTAGAGTAGATGTGGGCAGAGTCCACCTGTCTCTCTGGCTGCCTCCTATGGCGGAAGTCCAAGAATTGACTTTTTTTTTTGGTATGCAGGCAAAAGTAAGAGGTAAGGGAAGAGGGAGGGAGGGAAGAAGAGGGAAAGGTGTGAGGCAGCCCCAATGACACAAGGGACCCAGTTGGAAGAAGGGGTGGAGCAAAGGGAAATGTGGGCAAGGGGTGTGTGCAGTGGACTTTGGCCCTCTGAAGCAGGGAGGCAGGATGGGGCTGAGAGAGTAGAAGCCACAGCACTTTCCCTCTTGTGCCAGGTGGTAGGAGAGCCCAAATCACCTCTGAAGAAAAGTATCTCATGATGCTTGCTTGGACTTTTTTTTTTCTGCCTACAGTCAATGTTGCCCACAGATCTATTAGGCAATGTGGAAAACACTTTAGGTCAGTGATTCTCAAGCTTCGTAATGCAGCGACTCCTTAATACAGTTCCTCATGTTTTGGTGACCCCCAGCCATAAAATTATTTTTGTTGCTACTTCATCACTGTAATTTTGCTACTGTTAAGAATCATAATGCCAATATCTGATATGCAGGATGTATTTTCATTCACTGGACCAAATTTGGCACAAGTACCCAATACACCCAAATTTGAATACTGGTGGGGTTGGGGGGGAGGGGTGGTGGTGGTGGTGATTTTGTCATTTGGGAGCTGTAGTTACTGGGATTTATAGTTTACCTACAATCAAAGAGCATTCCAAACTCCACTAATGATGGAATTGAACCAAACTTGGCACACAGAACTCCCATGACCAACAGAAAATACTGGAAGGGTTTGGTGGGCACTGACCATGAATTTTGGAGTTGTAGTTCACCCACATCCAGAGAGCACTGTGGACTCAAAGAATGATGGATCTGGATTAAACTTGGCACAGCTATTCAATGTGCCCAAATGCAAACAGTGGTGGAGTTTGGGGAAAATAGATCTTGGTAGTTGTAATTTCTGGGATTTATAGTTCACCTACAATTAATAGCATTCTGGACCCCACCAATGACAGAATTGGGCCAAACTCTCCACACAGAACTCCCACTCACAGAGAAGGAGGGCTTTTGGTGGAAGGATTCATTGTCTGTTTCCAAAATGGAAGAGAGGTTCCAAAGGGGTTCCTAAAACTATATGAAATATATGTTTTCTGATGATCTTTGGTGATCCTTCTGAAACCCTCTCGTGACACTCCCCCCCCCCCAAGAGGTCCTGTCCCCCAGGTCAAGAAATGCTGCCTTAGGTGAAGAGTGGAAGCATTCTCCATAGTTGCCTTGCTTCCCTTCCTCTTTCTTTTTCTTTCTGCCTTCTTTTGCATCATGTCTTCATTATATTTCTCTCTTTTGCCCTCCATCTCACCTTGATTTATCAAGGGCCTGGAGAACAAGTCCTATGAGGAGTAGTTTAAAGAACTGGGCATGTTTAGCCTGCAGAGAAGGCTGAGAGGAGACATGATAACTATATATAAACATGTGAGGGGAAGTCATAGGGAGGAGGGAGCAAGCTTGTTCTCTGCTGCCCTGGAGACTAGGATGCAGAACAATGGCTTCAAACTATAGGAAAGGAGATTCCATCTGAACATTAGGAATGCTTCTAGAACATGGCCATACAACCCGAAAACCTACAACAACCCATTAGGAAGAACCTCCTAACTGTGAGAGCAGTTCAGCAGTGGAACTCTCTGTTTTGGAGTGTGGTGGAGGCTCCTTCTTTGGAGGTTTTAAAACAGAGACAGGATGGCCATCTATCAGGGGTGCTTTGAATGTGATTTCCCTGCTTCTTGGCAGGGGATTGGACTGAATGGCCCACAAGGTCTCTTCCAGCTCTATGATTATAAGATTCTATAAGTGCAAAGAAAGGGAGGCAAGTTGTTGGAGGCAGAAAAGTTCCTCCAGGATGGTGGGAATATTGTAGGACTTCAGACAAATGCCTCCCTCTCTCTGATTAATGAATTGCTTGAGGTAGAAGACAAGATGGGGTGAAGACAGAAGGAAGCATGGACTTTTCTCCCATTATAAGTGGCAGGAGATCACAACCTGCACTCCAAAATGAAGATATTCTCACCTAGACATTTTAAAAATGTGGGGGGGGGGGGCTGCTACCCACTTCCAGAAAGTCACTCCATTTGGAGCTACTTTCTTTGGTCTCCTCTTCAGTGGAGAAGGCAAAGCACTTCCCACCACAGCTGCATGGGGGAAGGGAATTTCATTATCAATGTGAACAGCTTATGGCACAATCATTCCCTGTTACCTCAGATAAATATCAATAAAAGGATACTTACTCACACCTCAGATGGCAACCTTTTTAGAAAAATTGCACATCTATATTAGATAACTACCTAGAAGACCTAGATCAGAGCAATCCTATTAAAATCCACGATAAACACTTTAGCATCTGCTTTGAGTCTTCTTTAAGAGAGGAAAGTGGGGTAATAATAAGAATAATAATAATCCTATCCAGCTGCCTCTTGCCTCTGAAGACAACAAATCTAATCTTTATCACCTCAATGTTTTCTATTATGACATCTCAAATAATTGAGATATTCATATCCCAAGGCACAAATAGAGATTGCACATATAAGCCCATAGTTACAGATCTGCAGATACATCATGTTCCATGAAGGAGGAGGC